ATATTAGACCACACACAGGCAGTGCTGTATCATGTCACTGCTTCTTAAGCAGAACTCTCTAATTTATTTCAAAGGGAAGTTCTGCTTCAAAATTGAGGGTGTGATATGAACTCAGAAATTAACACAAGAATTTTCCTTGGGGGGGAACCAAGACTGAATCAGACATGCAATAAATGACCTCGGAAGCCCTGTGCCTTGGTACATCCACCTATCCAACATTATGCTTTAACATAAAAAATTATTTTCACCATTATCTTATTTCAAGCTAGGTAGAGGAGCTGAAAGAATTTGGATTTGCTTTGGTCAGGAGGCAACAAATTACTCATCTGTCTGTGTGCCAGGAGGTCCATCAGCAGCCGCCGCACTCCTAACGCTTTCTGCCGGGAATGTGACAATTGATGGGGACAGAGCACCATCCCGGCGAGGTCCCGCAGTGCAAACCCTGCTGCCAGGGAACCTGGCTGGGATGCTGCTCTCCCACAGCAACAGGCACTGCTGGGAACACACCGAGCTACTGTTGGCTTCCAGCTGCCTTCCCTCCCTCCCTCCCTCCACGCACATCTGGAGAGGGATGCAGCAGTCCCCTCGCAGCGACAAATCCCCGTCACACGGCGGCTCCGGGGAGTTTTCCCACTGGTTTCAACAAGATCAGAACCCAACACAGGAAAAAGCAATACTAAACTATTGCCCTGACAGTGCAAGTCAGGACAGAGAGACCTCGCAGAGAAGCAGCTGAGCTGCAGATTTCCTTCTGCCAGCTGCTGCGGGGGCCACAGCCTCCTCCTGCCCGGGGATGGGGCAGCCCTGGGGAAGGGGATGCAGCAGAACCAGCTGTGTCCCGGGGCTCAGGGGCTGCTGCCTCAGCTTCTGTCCGGCAAAGAGCAGCCCTAGACTGCAGCTCTGTGCCTTCTGACCTCGTGTTAGACATTTGGGCCCCGTGGCCCCAGGCCAGCAGTAACTGCACTTTCATCTTGCCCTGCCCAAGGGGACATTTCAAACCCTCTGAACGAGCTCCAGGAGCCCAGTGGACCACGGGGACCAGGCTCTGAGCAGGGGCACTATTTGTGAGTCCTGCTGTCTAATCTGGGGACTTGAGCCATGCAGGGCTGGGGAGATCCCCCCACCCTTCTGCTCCCACGTAAGCTCTGGTTAGACAACTTAATAATTAAGAAAATGAGGTAGTGTCTGTTTTCCAAAGAAATGGAGGCTCTTGGACTTCTGTTTTTCATACAGACAGAAAGCCCAGCGCCTCAGCTTTACATATAGAACATTTTAATCCTGCCTTCACCTCACATGCTCAGCACACACACCTGAGGTGCACAGAAGGTGTGAGGAGCACCCCGGGGATCTCTTCCATCAATGGGAGTGGGGAGAACTTGTGCCCTACATACAGGACAGCATGGCTCATTCCCCTATTTTATAAACCTATTTACAAAAGGAACTTAAAGGAACTTATAAGTGCTCCTTCTACCATTTAACTACCACATGGTACAAGATATAACAATGTTCAGAAAACCCCCGCAGGTCTAAACTCAATTATACAACTGTAGCAAGAAAAATATTTTAATCTGATCAAAGTGTTAACATGTTTGACCATGTCTGACCTCTAATGTTTGTAACCACCTAAAAGGCTGATGTTTTTACTAAGGATGTACCTTAATTTGATTTAAAGTCATTTGTACTATTTAAAAAAGGATATAGTTTTATGATTTTATATTTAATTTAGAAAAACAGTTCCTCAACTTGCTCATATTCTTTGGAAGTTTCTTGCAGGTTTTTAACCCATAAATCCCATATATTTCACTCCTGGAAAAAACTGGACTTTGCATGAGACGGGAGAGTGAAAGTGGAGCCATGAAGCACCATGCACACAGCACCTGAGAGCCAGGTGAGAGCTGGCTCTGCTGGGGGCTGGCAGACTTCAGGTGCACACGGGCTGTGCTGAGAGGCTCTTGACACCCTTGACATCCCCAGCCCAGCAGCTGATGGGGTTCACAGCTCGCTCCCAAAACCCAGGCTGGGCCCACTGCCTTGAAGCAGCTCCAGGAGCACTTTGGTTGCACCCCCTGTGAAAGCTCTACTGCCAGTCCAGGAAACCTGTGCCTGCTCAAACCAGCATCACTCCAGCTGAATTATCCCCCACTGGCATTTGCCACCTGCGGCCGAGGTGGGCCACCCTGCTGCAGGGAGCTCCTGCCACCCTCCTGCTGCTGCTGGCCCTCCAGGGACCATCAGCTGGGCTTGGCCTTGCTGCTGGTGGCAGGTACCCAGACACCTTCAGAGCATCGCTCTGGAGCGGCACTAGAGCTCGTAAATAACACGAGTGGGTGTGTTTTGGTAAAAAGAGGCAATTTTGGCTGGGAGATGCGGGGAGCCGAGCAGGATGCTGGGGTGAGCAGCCTAACAGTTAGTGGCTACAACCACCTTGAGGGAAACAAAGCAGAAGTGATGCTGCTGAGAAAATCAGAAAGCAAATAGGAAAGCAGCACTGCCGGTAGCAACACACCCACCCAGGCAGGCACCAGGGCTGCTCCAGCAGTGCTTGCAGGGCCCTGATGGGGTTCGTGGGGAGCCCACTGAAAAAAGTGTGGTTTTACAGAGCGTTGCAGGGCAGGGGCTCAGCCCCAGCCTCGGCTGCCCCTCGTCTTTCAGGGAGTTATACTCTATTCTCAGTCAGGTAAATTACTATTTTCAATGCAAAGCCCTGAAAGTTTGCCAGAGTACTCTTGGGTTAATCTTTTAATTTATTTTTTTTTTTTTTAAGATTCTAAAATTAATCCCAACTGCAAACAACCGTTTCCAGGAAGCCTCATTAACCAAAATACAATCTCCACTATCAAGAGCACGCATGGCTGTGATATGTAATCCCATTCACTCACACAGCCTTCCTCCCCGACTCTACTTGTGCTAAAGTGTTAATTAAACACACTTTTATGGATGGTTAAGTATCTGCAATCTTCGGTCACAGATCTGACCTCCCCAATTATTGGAAGCAGCCACCAGATTATAGCCCACACTTCACATAATGTACACAGCAGCAATAAATCTATATGAGAGCAATCCATAATTTACCATGATAACCTTTGCACAGTCAATGGAAACACAAGACAAAATTGCCCAGAATAATACACTGGAATAGCTATTGCAATAAATTGAAAAACCACAAGACCAGCCTTCATCTGAGGAAGAAATCTTCCCCTGTCTGTTAGGTAACAGACTTTTAGCTGAAAACATCAAATCAGCTCTTTAAGTCATACAACATAAGCCACGGCAGGACCTGAGCAGGCCCAAGGGCAGCTGGCTGAGGCACTGGATGATTTGGGTGGCTCTCAAGGGGACTGGATCATTCCTCCTCTGCTACTTCAGTTTTCTCCCCTTTGAGTTCTGCACAGTCTGCTTACTCCTGCCTGCTGCTCTGACAGTAACCACTTGGATTTCATTCCATTATCAAGGGGAGAGGCGATTCCCAAACCACAACCTACTTTTCAGCCTAACTGCTAATAAATAGGCTATTGCACTTTGCTGCCCATCTAGGAAGAGTTTAAGATTAAAAGAAATATTCCACTACAACAAATAGTTGCTGGACTAACATAACTCTGAACTCACCCAGATTCTATCCCAGGGAGCACACTAAATGTGTTTCAATAAGACAAAATTAATATAATTTAAAATTTATCAGGAAGTGAACAGCTTCATATTTTAGGGGATGGGGCAGTACCTGATACCTGGATGAAGGGACACAAGGTGAGAAGCACCAGAAGAAATGCTTATTTGGGTTACACTGGCCCTGCCTTGCAAACACATCTTTTCCTGTTGTAAACTGAAGGAAGACTTCAAAATTTAGGGACAGAGCCTCAGTATTTGCAAACTTTGGCAAAGTCACAGCAGTCTGCAGCCAGAGAAACTGATTCCCTGGGAAGAGCTGAGCTGGGTGCAGGAAGGTCTCGCAGGAACCCGTCTCCGGCTGCCCAGGCCAGCTGGGTCGGGTGTGAGGGCACGGCACTGATTCCCACAAATAAAATATTGAGTTCCATACCCCACAGTCCACCAATTTTTCGTAACACCAGTTTAACACCCTCCCCCTCCTGTGAACAAATGCCTGGAATTAAGGACGGTTTTATGGATCCTTTTAAACCTCACCCCTTTAAAGGCTAAAAAACTAAACCTGAAATAAACCAAATTACGTTCTGTCCTCCCTTGCCGACGGCTGATGCAGAATAAAGCAGAAACAAACGCAGCAGTGCTGGCTCCCCAGGAGCCACACCAGCCCCAACCGACTGCTGCAAAGTCAGGACAGTGTTTGCTGAAGTTCTGATAGAGGTGGTGACGGGAAAAGTCAGCTTGTGTAGAGAAGCCTTTAGTTTAATCACTCACGTAGCAAAACTTAGAAATAGTACGACACACAGAATTACTAAAGCTGATTTAAACTGAGAGGGAAAAACTTTACAGCAAGAAGACGGGAATAGTCCTCCGGCAGCGTGAAGCCTTTTCCTACAAACCTCTATTGCCATTTTAGAAGAACAAGACCCACTTTTTGGGCCATCATCCACCACAGAGCCCTAACCCACAGCACACCAGAACCTGGCTGTTTAACAAGCAGACACATCGAGCTCAACTTCAGCTGCGGGACATATCCCTGAACACAAACACCAGGAGCTGCTCCTTCCAAAGCCTGTGACCCAGAAAAACGAAGGGGCATTCTTCCGTTAGACATCAGGGTTTGATTGCTGGAAGAGTAAAGGCAAACCTAGAGGATGGGGAGGTCGGGAAAACAGCTCCTCCAGCAAATTCGGAGCCAAGCAGGCGCTTCCTGCCGAGCATCTCTGCCCCTTCCCATGGCTTCTCCCTTTGGCTCGGACAGAACAGCGCCCAGCTATTGCAGAAACCGGGCTCCCATTTGTTGGGAAAAAAGCACATGTAGGTGCCTGCACAATACCCACAACATACTTCAGCAGTGAGAGAGGCCATGAAAATTCTCCACGAGGAGAGGAGGAACTCACCAGAGGTGACATAGATCCATTTGGCAGATACGGATCTGAGAGCATCAGGAAAGGGTAGCCGGAATATGCAGATCCTTTATACATCCCTGGGTCCTGATGTTTCATACCTGCTGAAATCAACGTGCCCTGTCAAAACCGGCCTAACGACAGGTGATTCCCCTGCCTGTTGGGGGTCCCCAAAGAGGTTACAGCATATTGTGGGAGTCTTTTTGTCCTGGACTCCTTGGAGAAGGTGTTGAGGGGTGCAAGGTACCCCATGGGTGTGGGATCCCAAACTGGGGACACTGGGAAGCCTCGGTGCTGACAGACAGAGCTTTCCCACGGGGGGCTGTGGTGGCCAGGCTGACATCCCTCCCTCTCAGGGGGTGACAGGGTGATGGGCTGGGGGACCGGGGGGGATCACCACCCCGGGGAGGGCGAGCACTGGACAGAGCACACGGGGGAACACCAGCGGGAACCGGGAATGAGGAGAGGGGGACACACGGAAACACGCGGGGACTGCCGTGACTAACCATCATCCATGTGGTCCGGGAGCTTCTCCTGGTAAACTCTCTGCGGATCCTGCACTCGCCGGAGGGCCTGCATGGGGAGGAGAGAGAGGGGCAGCGCGGGGGCGGTGGGGAGGGGGCGCGGGGCCGGGCGGGGGGCGCGGGGCCGGGCCGGGCTCACCCACCTCGGGGTCGGCGGCGGCGGCGGCCGGGCTGCCGCTGCCCTCGGACTCGTTCACCAGCGAGGACTTGAGGTCGGCGAGGTCGCGCTCGGTGAAAGCGTTCTCGGGGATCTTCTCCTCCTGCTCGCCCTCGTCCTTGAAGGCCAGCATCTCGTCCGTGGCGCCCAGGTCGTCCCCGCCGCCGCTGCCCAGCTGCGGCATTTTCCTCCCGCCGCTCCCTCCCCGCCGCGCAGCAACTTCCCCGGCGAGTATTGTTCTCCCGGATCAAGCCCTCCGCAATTATTATTATTCTTTTTTTCCCCTCCCTCAATTATTTTTTTTTCCTCCTCTTGGAAAAAAAACAAACCTATATGTAAAAAAACTTGCTCCCTCTTGAATTTCTTTTTTCTTCCAGAAGTTTTTTCCTCCCTTCCTCTTAACTTTTAAACTTTTTCCTTTAATTTCGCTCCCCGCTTTCCAAATTCCCTCGAAACCCTTTCTTTAGGACAAAAAAAAAAAAAAAATAACAAATCAGAATCGCTTCTCCCCCCTCTTCAGTCTTTTCCTCCCCTCCCCGCTTTCCCCCGTTCCCCTCCCCGCTCCGGCGGCTCTCGGGGGGCTCGGCAGGCTGCGGGCGGGCAGGAGTCGCGGGATGCCGGGCTCCGGGGGCCCCCCCCGTGCCGCCGCCGCCCCCCCGCCCTCCGAGCCCCGGGAAGTTTGGCTGGAGCAGCGGGCGCCGGCGGCTGGCGGAGCACGGAGCGCCCGGTCCGACTGCGAGCGCGGCGGCGCGGCGGGCGAGCGCTGCGACATCAAAGCGGCCGCCGGGTGATTGGCAGCGCCGGGGAGGGGCCGGGGGCGGGCACACGCGGGGACACACACACAGGGACACACAGACGCACAGACACGGGCACACATGCACCGCCGCACACGCGCCGAGTCCCTGCCTTAAAGGGATGCTGCGGCGGGGTGACCCCCGTCCCGGGCCGGCTGCGGGGTGGGCAGCGCTGGGGGCTCGGTGCAGCCCCCCGGGCGTGTGTAACGTGTGCTGCATGCACAGGTGTGCACACGCGTGTCTGCTCGCACATGGGCACACGCACCTGTGCCTGCGTGTGCGCGCACATGCCCACGCTCACACGGGCCTGCACACACATCTGTGTGCATGCATGTGCTGCACGTACATCTCTGCCCATCAACATGCCTGAACACACCTCTGTGCACACACACACAGGCCTGCACACGCATCTGTGCATATACATGTGCTGCACATACATCTCTGCACATGAACACACCTGAACACGCCTCTGTGCACATACAGAGAGGCCCTCACATGCATCTGCGCGTGTACATGTGCTGCACGTGCATCTCTGCACATGAACACGCCTGAACACACCTCTGTGCACACACACACAGGCCCTCACGCACATCTCTGCATACCCACGTGCCTGCACACACATCTCTGCACGCAGACCTCTGTGTACACACACCTGTACGTGCACCTGTGCCCACACACCTGCACACATGCCTGTGCACACCTCTGTCTGCACATGTGCTTGCACACACACTTTGGCACACACTCAACCTGCACACACTGCTCGTGCCCACACATGTCCCTGCAGGTGCCAGTGTACAGCTACACAGACCTGTGCACACACATCAGCACACACAGTGGCACACGGGAGTGATCCCACACGTGTGTGCACAGCGGTGGGATCCACACACAGCCCCAAACACACCAGCAGAAAGGAACACAAAACTGTACCCATCAGGGTGCACAGCTACAGTCTGACACACACACATCTGCACACACACATCTGCACACACACACACATCTGCACACACACACCTGCACACACATCTGCATGCACACACACACACCTGCACACACACACACACCTGCACACACAATCTGCATACACGCATCTGCAAACACACACATATCTGCACACACACACCTGCACACAAACACACATCTGCACACACACACACACATCTGCACGCTCACATTTGCCTGTGAGTCTGCAAGCACAGATCAGCAGCACACAGACAAATACAGAGGACAGAAGGCCGTACATGGAACTGCAGACACACATCAGCACATACGTGTGTGCATACTGAGACACGCCAGGACACGTATGTGTGCACATGCACGTCAGCACATGTGTGTGCACACTGAGACACATCAGGATGTGTACACAGTCCCACACTGAGATATCAGGACGTGTGTGTGCACAGAGAGACACACATGAACACATGTACATAGGTACACAGTAAGACATCAGGATGTGGGCACACAGACGCACGTGAACACATACATGGGTGCACATGTACACACATCAACATATAGCTGTGCACATACAGACATCATCAGGCATGTGTGCACACTGTTACATCAGCACATGTGCACACACAGACACACGTCATCATGTATGTGTGTGCACACAGACACACTTCAGCACGTACATGTGTGCACTGAGGCACATCAGGGCGTGTACCTGTACACACACACAGACATCAGGACACGTATGTGTTCACAGATAGACACACATGAGCACATACATGCACACACTGTGGCATCAGGACAAATGTGTGCACACGCTGATATGCATCAGGGCATGTACATGTGACAAAGGCACACACAGCACGCAAACACACACACACGGGTCACACATGAGTGCACACACACACGGGTCACACGAGTACACACACACACGGGTCATACATGAGTGCATGCACACACATGCGTGGATCACGTGTGTGCACCCACAGACCACATGTGTGTACACACACACACAGGGATCGCACGTGTGCACACACAGAGCACACACACACAGATCACACATGGGTGCACAGACACACAGATCACATATGTGCACACACACAGAGATCACATGTGGGTGCACAGACACACAGATCACACCTGTGCACACACAGATCACATGTGTGCACACACACACAGATCACACATGGGTGCACACACAGATCACACGTGTGCACACACACACAGATCACACCTGTGCACACACAGAGATCACACGTGGGTACGCACAGATCACACGTGTGCACACACACACAGGTCACACATGGGTGCACACACACAGGTCACACATGGGTGCACACACACAGATCACACTTGTGCACACACAGATCACACGTGTGCACACACAGATCACACGTGTGCACACACAGACCACACATGGGTGCACACACGCGGGTCACACGAGCGTGCCCTGCCCACCCGCGGGCACACCATCGCCCCCCGGCCCCTCGGCAGCACAGACGTGACGTGGGGCTGCAGAAAATTATTAGTTTTCCTGACTGGCCCCGAGGGTCAGGAAACACGAAATTACCATCTTCGCAGCCAATTTCGGAGGCACTAGACACTTGTGTGTCGGCGTCGGAGGGTTTTTCAAGCAGTTCCCATGGAAAAGGAAACTCCCCATCTCTTCTGATCACATACGACAGGTCCTGTGCATGTCTCCGGTAGCTTAAAACAACACACCGATATTTATTTTCCTTAATTAAGATTGCATAAGATAGCCCTGGGTCCTGGAGACTTTGCTACAGACTGTAATGACGCCATGTAAATTGTTTTTTATGACCCAATATACAACATATTGTCACATTCAGCCCTTGAATAGGAAGCTAAAAATCTCGGCCCCTATTTTTCTTGTTAATTAGGGTATTATTACTAGGGATATAATCTCATTACTTTTTGGGGAGGAGAAGAACTAGTTGGAGCCACTTTGAAAAGTACTTGAATATATTTAAATGAAGCAAAATCCGTCTTTCTGCTAATTGCTGATTTTGCATGACATAGAATTATTGTTCTGATTTCGGGGGCACAGTTGATGCAGGGCTGAAGGAGATGAGAGGGGGGAAGGATGCTGTTTGCTTTTTTCCTGCTCGGTTTTCCCCTCCAAATGAATGAGCCGCCCCATAGGAAACTCCGTCTGCAAATTTCCATTCTTTTAAACATCCCAAAAATAAAACAAGATGCAGCCACTTTGAGGAATAATCATTTGAATGAAATATTTGCTACTTTAAGATTTTTTTTCCCCCTTCTTCTTTCAGATGATCCTCTTGTTTTGCATGTGAAAAAAATCGTCTGAGATTTACAGCCCTCCCAAATGGAGATAAAGCCTTGGCAATGAGTTGGAAACCTGTTGTAATCTGTGATCCAGGAAACAAAGAGCCTCATTAATGCAGAGACTTTGGTGAGCCTTTGATGTTAGCTAGCATAGCATTCACTCTCAGTTCCATTTGCATTTAAACATTCATAAAAACATCATCTCTGCTTCCTTTGCCTTAAGCAATTTAGGAGTAAAGTATAGCTTCTATTTAAAGAAACCCACTGTGGTGAGGCTTAGAATACAAATATCACATAATCTTCAAGCAGAGCAAATATTTTATCCTACATTTCTGGTGGGCACATTTAATAATATTATATTTAAGACCCAAAATAAAAGATCCGTCTTATTTTCATTAACCTTACACCACATATTCGAGTCAAAAGAGAAAACGGGCCCTGTTAATTTTAAATATACTACATTCCAATTTGTGGAAGGAAGAGAATCCAGAGGATTTTACATTATTCACAAGAGCTGAATTTTTGAAAACTGGGTGCCTACAGCAAGGTGCCTAAATCTGTATTTAGGCACACGACACTGAAAATTGTGAACATCAGATTTATATATATATATATAGTTTTCTGAACTGCAGAATCTTCATCCTGGTTTTAGAATGGAGTAGAAAGAGATTTAAAAAAAAAAAATTAAATTTTATTTTTAACAGAATTATAAAAGTAAAACACTAAAAAAAAAAATCAAAGTAAACCCAACATGGAGATTTTCTTTCAAGAGAAGGCACTGTTGCTCCCACACGGCATCCTGAGGGAACGGCATCACGTGGGGAATTTGGGCAATCACTTAGAAAGCAAAGGCCTGTGTATCTTATTATTTTCAAAAGTATTATTCCCCAACACAGCTGTGAGAAGTGGAACAGTGCAAACAATACTGGAAACATTCAGCTGGGGTTGTCCATGTTCCCTGTACCATTAGAAATAACCGAGCAATGGAAATCGATCCCGTGTCACATCGGGAACTCTTGATGGTCCCACTCTTAGGGCCAAATACAAGGAAATCTTTATGTTTGGTGCCATGAGTCAGTGCAGCCAGACTGAGGTCTGAAGCATTATAAGCGAGTTTCCTATATGATGAATATCCGAAATTAAAAACTGAAATGGAAAACACTTAAAAACAACTTTACCT